GAGCAAGAAATAACAACTTTCTTTTCCTTGACAGATTCCCCCCCTCTGGGGGGCTAGGCTATCAACCACCCTTAGTGGTTTATGTTTAGTGAGCGTAGAAGATGAACTGTGAGACAGAGATGCTTTCAGGCTGGAGCGGGGATAACCAGCATTGATATTCTCAGCCAGGCAGCTTCTAGACTGACATAATGAACACAGTTCGCTCGCTCGTTTCCTTCAAAATCTGCAATCTCTCTCATTCTATCTGAGTGATAAAATCCTTCCACAAACCAGAAGAAAACGAATATCAACCTGGTCTTGACTTGCTTCCCACGTTACGCCAAGATATGGTTCATACGGGATTTAAAATTGCATAATTTTAAGACTGAAGTGCGTTGCCTACTTATATCAGAATAAGATGCACTTACTTCTGAGGAGATGTGTTGCCTTGTGTGTTGTCTCCCAGGGTTTGTTGGTGGTTTAGAGCTGTGGAACTTTTCAGGAATTGGTTCCTACATGTATTTATTTTCCTCTTCCCTCCTCATCCTTTTTTTTCCCTTTCATGTTGTGTCCTTTAGATGGGAAGTCTGTGGGACTGGCTTTCTTCCTTGTTCACTATATAAATGGCTGCAGAATCTCGTAGAGAGCACGGTCTAAAAAACTAAGGGGAAATTGTGAAGGCAGTTAATTTGAACAGCCCTAAAGCAGTGGTTCCCGAACTTGGGTCACCCAGATGTTCTTGGACTACAACTCCCAGAAGCCTTTTCGCCATTCGCTGTGCTGGCCAGGATTTCTGGGAGTTGTACAGTGGTGCCTCGCTTAACGAGCGCACCGTATAACGAATGAATCCTAATAGCGATCCCTTTTTCGGGATCGCTAATGTGGAGGCATACCGACGGTTGCAATGGGCAAAACTCGCATAGCAACGATCGGTAAGTGTTTCGCTTACCGATCTTCGCTTTGCGATGCCCGTGGATCAGCTGTTAGGCGGTTCCAAAATGGCCGCCGGAAGCCCCGAAATGGCCGTGCGCAGCGTTTTCGCGCCCTCAGCGAAAATGGCTGCCGCTATGGAGGAAACTTCGCTGAACGTTAAGTTTAGGGCCCATGGGTTTTTACGTTCCGTTTAGCGATGTTTTCACATAACGAGGGTTAATCCGGAACGGATTAACCTCGCTATGTGAGGCACCACTGTAGTTCAAAACATCTGGGGACGCAAGGTTGGCCTAGAGCCACCTGCCTGTCCAGCCTCTGTGTCCTCCTTAGGGCTAGCTGGGTTTATAGGAGAAAACAACCTACCGTGTTTCCCCCCAAAATAAGACAGGGTCTTCTGTTAATTTTTGCTTTTAAAAAAACTGCATTGGGGCTTATTTTCGGGGGATGTCTTATTTATTTTTTCAAGAGGGAAAGAACAGCAGCTGTGAAGGGGGAGGCGTTGGCGTGGAAGGGGGGCCGGGGTCCCGAAGCCCACCAGCTGCTTCAACATGTGGCCCTGCCAGCAGTAGCCAGCACCGAAGAGGGAGCCAAACAAGAGGAGGGTTAAAAGAGCTACGGTAGGAGAAAGAGGGGGGAAATGAAGGCCAGGCCGGTGGACGGAGGGGGCCGGAGCTCTGAAATTGCCTCCCCCCCCCCCCCCCACCTCCCGCTCGCTTAGCGTCCC